GGCCTGAGGATCACACGGCACCAGTACCCAAAATTCTGAGGGGATGAAAAGATGGAGGAAGGGGGACTGCAGCATGGCCATAACCCCTTGGGGGTACTTTCTGTCTCTCCTGTCTCTGTCTCTGTCTCTCTCTAGCAAGTACATACACCCTCTGGTATAAAATTTTATTATAAAAAATAAAATAGAAAGAACTGATGGGATGAACCAGGCTCTGTGACACAAAGATGTAGTGGATAATACAATTTGATGACATGAAAAAAGAATAGGAGAATGATCAAGAAGCAGCAAAGAGGAATAAGGAGGCCTCTGCTTACCCCCCAGGTCCATAAGTCTAAGGGGAATGGGACAGAAATCAGTCCCCACCAGGGGCCAGCAGGTGGCATGGTGATTGAGGGCACTGGACTCCCATATGGCCGACTGTGGTTTGAGTTTCAGACCTTGTGGCTTTCTCTCTCTCTCTCTCTTTCTCCCTGTTCCTCTCTGGTAAAATTAAAATAAATAAATAAAGACAAATAAAGTAATTTTTTTTAAAAAAAGAAATCAGTCACCCTGTAAAGAGATAAAAATTATAGAGCCACATGAGAATGAGCATTAAGGAGCCTGGTGCAACTGATGAATTCAGGGTTAAAGGGCATGATAAGATCAGTTCTGTGCTCCCAAAGGCAGGTGGAGAGGGGAACCATGCCTCCATTGCAGCACAAGGATGGAAGGGGAAAGATGTCTCTCTCCTTAGCACATCCCTGGGGTTATCACACAAAAGGGGTCTCCCTGCCCTCAATCCCATCACATGGCGTTTCCAGCACAATGTCTTACGCATAGCCAAATGGAAAACCACCAGACTAGGAGTTATACAATGGCAGGCTTTGTGTCAGTAGCATGTCAGAATAGGAAAAGCAATATAAGAACCCAGTGAATCTGAGTTCAAATCCTACTTCCACCTGCCATGAGGTAATCACAGGTGAGTTCCGTAACCATTCAAAGGCCCTGTGACTTAGTTTTCTCATATGTCAAATGAGAGAACACATTTCTTGTATATGAAGCATAAAGGCATTCTATAATGTTCATTTCTGACTCAATGTTTATAACACAGAAAAGAAGGAAGGTAACATTAATTGGGCATCTTCTAAGTGCCAGCTGTTGTGCTCAGACATGCATTTTTTTCTTTATTATTTTTTTATAAAACAAAACTTACAGAGAATTTTACATTCTTTTTTCTGTTAATGTTTCCTTTTTCCCGCCCCACATACCCTCTACTACTTACCCCTTTCCCTTACAGTCCCTAGTATCTACACTTATCCTCTCTACTATCATATCCTCATGGGTTTTTTTTTTTTCTTTCTTTCTTTCTTTTAATTGCCAGAGGGTGCCTACACTGGCCAGAGAAAGAGGGCCACATCCTTTCTTCTTCACTTCTCCATCTCATCAGGATTTGCGGCATGCATGCACATGCACCCTGCATGTTTTTCAAGCTGCAGGGGCTGGAAGTGGAATTGCAGTCAACCATGTGGGATCCAGCTATATAGCAAAGCACTCAACAACTGCATTTTTTTTTTCAGAGACATTTTTGCTATAGGGTGCATGCACTTGTCAGAGAGTAACAGAGATAGTGAAAAATCACCTCCTGGGAGGATGGCCATGCCATAATTCCTTCTCCTCCATTCTCCTCTCAGGACTTCGGGCATGCACCTGCCATGAGTTTCAAGTTGCGGGCTCTAGTACTTGAACCGCAATTGCCCATGTGGGAGTCCAGCACCTTAACCACTATGCCACCTACTGGCCCCAACATTTTAAAATTTGCACTTTATGCCACCCACTTTATAGGTATGGTGAATGCAACTTCAAAGAGGTAAAATGATTTGCTCTGCATCTCCTAATTGGCAACTGGTAGAAGCAGCATTTACAACCAGGTGTTTTCACTCCAAATCCTGAGTGCCTTCCACCATGCCACACTATGGGGTACACAGTAGGGACTCAAGAAATATTTGCTAGAGGAATCAAATATAAGAAAAGAGTAGGTTTTCGAACATCGGGGCTGGTTTTATACAGGAGCAGCAAGCGGTCATGCATGCTATGCGATTTCAGGGGTGCCCAAAATACTAGGTTTCTAGGCGTTGCCTGAAATGCTCTAATTAGAAATGCATCTTTGTCTCCTCCTCCCACCTGTTCATCCATCTTAGAAATGCTACATAGCAAGAGCTTTTTAGTCATTTATCTCTCAGTATAAATTAATTTTCTGGATCTGTATCTACTTATCAGTTTCTATAAATATTTCAGGGAGTCTTCCCCACTGGGAATCTGAGAAAGCCCTCAATATTATACCCATTTCATAGCCTATTTTACACCCATCATAATTTTAGGAATAAACCCAATTTTGGTTATGTAGTCCCAAATACTAAAAATAAAATTGTCCCTTTTTCCTCAAATTTGTGAAACAGGGTAGCTGAACTATATAATTCTCAACTTACACCATATTATTATTCATGAGCACAAGAAATTCCAGGTGAAAGTTACCTTTTACAAGCCAAATTCTTAAACCGATCCTGTAAAATTTCATGTAAAATAATCAAGAGTAAGAAAAAAATTAATATTAAAGCTAGCTCTGAGATATGTTCAAATGGATAGGGATTAGTATTTGTAAATATCCAGAGTGTAATGTATTTTTGAAACAAAAATCTCATTATGTATGATTTCCTGAACATTACTGAATAATGTCTACTAGAGCAGAAAACTGCTGGGGGAGGAAACCCACAAATGAGATTTTCCCTGCACTGTAGCCATTACTCTACATTTTAGGCTCAGCCAGGAAACGAGTCTTACGTCAATCCTGCATTTTTTCTAATTTGATTTTTATATTTTCCTCCTTCCAGTTCATCAAAAACACTCAGCAGTTTAAGAGGGTCAAAACACAGTGTAGGGCAAGAGCCCTTCCTGGGA